CACATTATCTGTGGCTTACTTTTGTGAGAGCCTTAAGCTATGTTGTTTCTTTGCTTTGTTCTATGAAAGAAAAGCCTGCAGCCTGTGTTGCAAAATGGCTAATTAAAGTTCTGTATACCAGTGGATAAAGCCCAAACCACGTCAATTCTTGCTAGGGTCTGCCACAAGAGGAGCACAGAAAATTTCTAGATGGATATGTGCTGGCCAGAAAGCCATGTGGTGAGGCTTGCTACCTTTACAGACAACAAACCCTCTGTAGGGTGGCTTTCCTCTTGGAGTCTGAGAAGAGAGGGCTGGGGTTATGGCAAGCTGTTGGGTAGCAGCAGATTGTGAGAAGGGTTGGTTTGATAGGAGCAGCTGAGCAAATACTTCTCATCCCATCAGAAGTGGGTGAGAATTTCCCATGTTCTGCTGAATTCTTGCACAGAGACAGTGTTTATAGGCTCTTCACTTAAAGAGTAATTGAGAAATAAGCTCTTTTTCAGGTGTTTCCTGCTCTTGTTTTTCATGTCTGTGTGAAGGACAGGAGCCAAGTATCTTGTCTTGTTGGAGATTTTAATTGTGTCAAAGCAGACAGTACTCTAACATGAGCAAATATTGTTTCTGTTGCATCTGTTCTCTAGAAAGAAAATTACCTGACAGACCTTTTCTTCCTTTTTGCCTTACGTTTTCCTACAGGCCGGGTGATTTATTTAGTTACGGGCCAGGTGATTTATCTAGTATCTGGATAACTATCTCTAGTGCTCTCCTGGGTACCAGCAGCAGTGGTTTTACTCTCAAGTACAGATGTGCCACTGAGGTCACAGTTGCATTCATCTATGAAGCAGTTATATTTATTATGATCTACTTATCCATTCACCAAAATTGGACCTGCATTTTACAAGGCACTGTTCTTGCATGTGCTGAGATCACTTTTGCCATATATAAGAAAAGAAGTGCTTTTGGGTGCTGGGAACCTGTATTGCAGGTGACTGTGGTGGAGTTGTGGCTCTGCTGAAAATTAAGCCATGTACGTGCCAAGGAGACACAACCAACTCCAAGACCAAGGCTGGAAAGCAGATGTTGCCTATCACTTTGCTCCACCAGCCAAGGGCCTTGCTTGTGTTGCTGTTCCTGAAGAGCTTAAGTGAATGCCAGTGGAAGAATGTGGCCTTTGTGTTGCAACATCTTTCTGGAGGGAGATTAAGAGTTACTTAGGTGGGACTTCTGAGTGCACAGTTGTTCTGTGTTTTGATTTCCATTTTCAGTGGGCACATGTAGCAAAATGAGTTCCTTGGAATAACCTCTCTGGGGTGCTTGTAGCATTAAGCTCCTCTACAAGTTGTTAGACATGCAGATACAGTCCTTTCATTCTACTGAATTATGAAAAGATGTACCTTCTAAATCATACATCACATTGCAGACAGTTTTCAAAAGAGAGACCATATGCTTGGTGAAGTTGTAGATTAGTAGAGCAACTAATGGATTATGTCTTACGCTATGTCATGGGTTAACTTTTGATCAATGAAACAAGCATTGCCCCAGAGAAATGCAGTTCTTGGGATCATGATGTGTGAAATAGGGAAATTGGCTTTTGAAAAGTCTCATGTAGGAGATGGGCTCGAGCCAGTTCGGGTCGATAGTAAGGTTGTTCTTCTACTGGCATTGGGCACAACAATCCTTCTCTGTAAAGCAGAACCAAAACACAAGTGTAATTTAAAGAAAATGCAGACCAATTCAATTAATACATATTTGCATGCTTAATCATGTTTTGTAGGGGGTTTTTTGTGTTTGGGGTTTTCTTGTGTGTGTTTTTGTTTGTTTGGTTGGTTGGTTTGGTTTGGTTGTTTTGGTTTTTTAATGAACTGGGATCTTAATTTTGCTGAGATTTGCTGTTAGGCAGTAAGAGATAGTACATCAAAGAATGATTATGCTTAAGCTTCTATGTTACTCCATTAATAAACTGATTTTATTGTTGTTTTTTGCCTGCTAATAAATCTGGCTTTTGTAAGTAAGTTAATTGTTGTGTTATTTGAATCGATATTGTCAGAAGCTGTGTTGTTTTTTGATAGCACATTAAGTCAAGAACAAGAGATCAACAGAGCTTTTGCTGTAGTCTGACAGCAGTATCAGCAAATGGGCTGTTTGTTCTTCCAGTCTTTTTTGTGCTGCGATCAGGTGGTGGGGAATACAAACAGCAGGTTGTTATCATGGTATTGTCCTTGATTCCAGGCTCCTACCTATGGGTACATGTGTCCATTCTCACAGGCACACAAAATAAAGCCCCAGTTTGGTTACTAGTGACAAGTGAAAAAGTTACTAGTGTCAGATCTCAAAGGGATTTGCCTCTGAGTTGTGATACAGGTTTACCTTCATAAATCCACCCAGCAAGTACAGTGCTTAGCCTTAGATGAGTTGGCTCAGGAATTGGATTATCAGGAATTGGAGCTTCTCTAAACACAGGCACAATGAGAGACTCTTCTGTCCTTTACATCACTGTTTTCAACCATTTGGAAGTGCAGTCATCTGTGTGGGAGACAAAACTTCTCTTTGATGGCTTGTTTGTTTGCCAGTCAATGGTCTCAGGAGCTTCATAAACATTCAGCAGTGTAGCATTTCTGACTTCCAGCTGGTACTTTAGCCCTCTTTTGCCGGAATAAAAGCTAAACCATTGAGACTTTTAAAATGGTGCTGACTCATAAGCCTAGATAATTTAAAGATTAAAAATAAAAAGTAAATTCAAGTACTATACTTCTCATACAGATGCTTCTTTAATTTTGGTGGTTTAAATGACCATAATTATATATTTTAAAATAGCTGTTTCCCTTCTCTTCTGGCTCTTGAGAAAACAGATGCAAAATAAGCCATGCAGGGGTTGGGCATAGGAGAGGTGTATGTGCAGCATCCATGCCCTCTCTGTTTTAGTTTAAATTTTATTGCAAGTTAAGCTCTTGGGGCTCTGGGAAATGGTGCATCCCCTCCCCATCCTGTGTATGGTCTGGTGTAGGTGTCTGAACTGACAAAGCCAGTATGTGGAGGCAGAGATAAAGACTGCTATCACCCCTAAAATCCTTCTTTTTATTTTTGCCTTAATGGCCTCAAGAAGGGCTTCTAGATTTATGGGTGCTGCTTCTTCTCTGCTTTTCTAGCCTGACAAAGTCCTTAGTTTGCACCATCAGCCAAGGGGACAGGTGCCCATCAATGTGGCTGAAGTGCTTCAACCAAAAGCATGTTGAAGAGCAAAAGGGTCATGGTAGACCACTGGTTTAACAGAAGGCAGCAGCTTCTAGCCCATTTTGTAAGGGACCTGAATCTGTCCGTGCATTTGACATATGTCTTGAAAGCTCCTGTTGGGTTGATCCACTGTGGGAGTATGGAGGGATGCTTAATTTCTTAGTCCTGATAGGACTGAAGTTAATGCTAAGTTGCTAAGTCTTATCAGTAGTTTTATGAGGTCTGGTAGCTTTGAGTATGAGCAGTTGTTAGGATCCTGGCTTTAAAGAAGAAGAGTTGGAAATGGGTCACTTTCAGGTTCAGTGACAGCAAAGTGGGTGTCTTCTCTTTTGATATGAGCAAATTCCTTTGCCTCAGTCTCAAACAGGGTGCCTGAGGCTATTAATGAACCTTGCCATAGTGATCATGTCAGAGCCTCCAGCTTGCTTAAATAAATCCTACTTATTTGTCATCAGAAGAGTATGTAACTGTTTTCACTTGCAAAACAGCTGATTATGTATCCATAGAGCATCCTCCTCTGGCCCCAGTTAGAGGCTGAAGCCTATGTGACAATGTGTTTTGTGAGTGAAGGCTTGTTAATTGAGCATGTAAATGTGTAATTGACTGTACAATTATTCAATTGAAGATTTTTAGTTTGCATACAAATATGAGAGCACACTCATGCAGTTGAGGAGATTTTCTAAGATCTGACGCTTAAATAAATATGTGCATTAAGCAAACAGATGTGAACACACTTACAAAGATCAGTCCAGCTGTGGCCACCTCCTCTTTTCTTTTGGTATGTGGGTATGATAATCTGCATATTTTCATCCAAGTCTGACACTATAGTTTCTGTGTTACCTCGGTCCTTTTCCCTATGAAACGTGTTTCATTGGTGTGGAAAATGGCAGTTACTATAGAAATTGTTCAGAGTTTGCTGTTAATGTATGTTCTAGCTTTTAGTGAAGTAGTACCTTGTGCTTCCAGTTGTTGGTGTTGTAATACCTTTAAAAATGGTTCTATGTCATATGAAATATTAATTTGAAATGTGGGGGGTTTTAGGGGAAAGCCTGCATTACTACTGGGAGTTGTTGGCAGTTGCAGTCCAGTGCAACTTCTGAGAAGCAAAAAAGGGTGTTAAACTTGCAAATAACAGTACACATTGTGTTTCTTTGCATTCAGTAGTTTCTGTACTTGGAAGCTGCTGATTTCCAAAGAATGGGTGATCTGCAGTTTTGTCCTGGCAGTTCTTGTCTGTTGCAGTGAATAAAACCCCAGATGTCTGTTTGAGGTCTCCTGTGTTCATTTACTGTGAAAGAAAACACAGTAATACTGCTTTTCTTTATAACATGTCCTTTTTTATATAGAATTGAACACTGCATTCAGTCTTTTTGAGGTGGTTTGAGATTTGGTATATAGGAAGGTAGTTTCAATAACACTCAAAAATTTCCTGAATAGTGAGAGAGCTGTTCCACATATGTGATTGACAACTTCATCCAGCCAAGGGTAATCTGTTCGTGTTCATAGGCCCACAGAATGGTTTGGGTTGGAAGGGACTTTTCAAGATCATCTAGTCCAACTCTCCTACCTGCCCCTCTAGTGGCAGGGGACCTTCAACTAGACCAGTATGCTCAAAACTGCATCCAACCTGGCCTTGAACATTTTTGGAAGGCTTTACCTCCCAGACTCATGGCGATGTCATAAATAATGCTTTGGTCAGGGGTGTGAATGGTGTCAGGGTTGGGAATGCCATTTTAAGCTGAGTGACAACCACTCCCCTTATGCCCCATCTTTTTATTGCTCTGCAGATGTCGCTCCTATGAGGATTGCTGTGGTTCAAGATGCTGTGTAAGAGCTCTCTCTATCCAGCGACTATGGTATTTTTGGTAAGTCAGGGCATTTGGGAATTTTATGTTTATCCTTATCTTGTCTTGTTTGCTGGAGTTAAATCAGGGTATTGCCAGCCCTAGCATTTTAAAGTACAGTAGTACAAGTATGCGGTAAAGTGTATGTGTACATAGAAATGCAATGATTTGGTGTTTTTACTTATAAAATTCTCCCGATGTAGTGAGAAAACACTGGAAAAGGTTACTCATGTCAGGTTGACCTTTCCTGCTTCTGTATCCTGTGGCTTTGTACAGGCAGTCGTCCCATTTTTATCCAAAATTGCTGAATTCCTTATGCCTGTCCTAGCTACTATCTATGAAGCAGCGGTATTCATTTGTTTTTGTTGGGCACTCAGTTTTGAAAGAGGATTGTATGAGGAGGATTGTGCTTTTAGGCAGGGTTTAATATATTCTTGCCAGCTGAATTGAGGCTTCAATTAAAAAGGAAGAGAAGTACATTTATGACTATGAGGATTTTACTGGAGATGACAGCAAGGGAAAAGAAGGCAGAAAGATTTGAGCTTGTGAAACCAGCAGCTCAGTAATCTGGATAAAGCTTAAACAAATCACTGTTATATGCATAATGAAAAAATAAGGTAAATTCCTTTTGGAGTGGAATTTAAGAAAGCACCTGAATAAAACCTTCTCATTGTCTCATTACAGTAGAGAGAAAGCAAATAGTCTCCTAGAAAACCTGATTTCAGGCATTTTTATGTAGAATTTGAAGTCTGATTAAAAAAATAAAAGCTTTAAAAATTGAAAAAAATAAACACTGAAAACCAGAAGCCTGATATATACTATAATACAGACATTTCCCAAAGCTGACTGTAGGATTTCAGTGTACAATCCTTACTGATGTAACTGAAGATCTCTCTATCTCAATCCCTGGGGTGCCGTCGTAAATCTCTGTTTTTCTGTTCAGAACAAATCCTTTGTAGGAGTATTGCCAAAGGGGAATGTATTAATATTGGCTCAGAGAAACAGGACCTCCTTCTGCTCTTGTTTCTAATGTAGAAACAAGAACAGTTTGACCCTTTGCATGAAATTACTCTTGCTGCTATGCTGTGGCACACTCTTCCTCTCAGGCATCTGGGAATTCTTCAGAGGAGATAAGCATGGTGTGTAGGCTTGCCTCTGACCAACTTCCTTCCCTTCCAAAAAAGCACAGTTGTCATTGTCCAAGGCCCACCAAACGAGAAGGCACTTAAGCAGAAGAACCATGTGTATTTACAAGAGCCTGCATGAATCACTGGTATGTCTGATAACTCCTCAAGAAAACACAGTGAAAGCCACTGTCAAAAGAACAAAATCTTGTGTGCCCGTGCTGCATATTCCTGCTTTCACAGCACCAGGGCAAGGGAATGATGAGGACAGTTTAGTTAGGTCAAAAAAGCAGCTGAGAGGAGGAGAACTGAAGCAAAATTATGTCCTTTTCCTTCAGAATGTAATGACCCATCTAGGAAGCACAAAGCAAAGCTTGTAATCATCAGTGCTGAATGCTTCAGTCTTCTGGCTTGAGCTTAAATGCCAGCTACCATGTTTCCCACAGGAGACGAAATTACAGTGTTGGGTAGTTTAAGAACATCTAACAATCTTCTTTTAATGGCAACTGCAGAATAGTATTCCTCTGTCTCCCACAAACCTCCTGACCAGCCTAGATGCTATAAGCCTGGGGCCTGCATCCAAGATGCACAGTTTGAAACTGTACTGACCTGGAATTTCAGTTCAGCATCCTGGTGGCAATGGTCAGGTATGAACATAAACTTTTGAAAAGGTCAAGGGTGTTTTTGTTTCAGATTTGTATTTTACATGACAGAAAATATTGACAATAGTACAGATCACTAAATATGTCCATAATGCATCCATAAGTGCCCCATGAGTGCTGCCTCAAATGACAGACCTGCTCTCAACTTATTTAAGAAACCCTGTTAAAAGTCGTAGGCTGATGTAGAGTGTTTTCAGTGAACAGTCTGGGTTTGAGAGCTGCCTGAATGCAGGTGGGTTTTGACTTCCCTCTTTTTTTTTTTTTTTCCCTAGGTTCCTTTTGATGATGGGAGTTTTGTTCTGTTGTGGGGCTGGTTTCTTTATCCGAAGACGGATGTACCCTCCTCCATTAGTAGAAGAACCTACTTTTAATGTGTCTTACACCAGACAACCAGTCAACACTGCATCAGGTCAGAGGCTGCTCATTATAAAAGTTTCACTAGTTTCTTACATTTGCCAAGGTATTTTAAAAGGGTGGGCTTTGAGCTTTTGTTTGTTTGGGTTTTGGAAACTGTGGGATTCTGACAAGGGATTGCACTGGATTAAACCACGCAGCCACCTCCTGCGATGAGTGATGCTTTCAAACAGCATTATTCAGCTGCAGTGTACAGAAGTGATTTTGAGACCCAAGATCATAGGACTTTGAGTTCCCTTCTGTTTTGGTTCCTAATGCCTTTACAGCTGTGTATCCATGCATGGAAGGAGGCTAGCAAGCTCCCCCTTTGCAGTGTAGACAAAATGATAGGTATCCAAAATCAACAGTACTGTGAAGAAAGAGTTTAAATACAACTGATAACATCTGGCAGAGGTGAAGGAAAGTCTAGTGTTTTCTTCCACAGTCTGGCTGTCTTGCAAGTCTTTTCTTTTTATTTGCCTTCAATGCTCTGTGCTACAGTTTTTCTGTGGCAAAGTGGTCCTTCTCCCATTGTTAGTCTGTTTGCTGTCTCTCCGGTCAGTACTGGCTGTGAGCATCAGTAGGATCTACCTAGTGAGGGCTTCTCTGACAATACCGCTTTCAAAGTTTGTAATTTCTTCCCCTCTGTTAAATAGTTCCAGTTGGGAGAATCCTGCAAAATGTGAGTCATCTGTAAGCAGAAGCTGTTTGTGCCTTATTTTAAATGCAGCTCTCTCTAGTTGAAAGACCTTCTACAGTGCTGAGATTTTATCTGAGTGCACACTCTGGTGCTTTCTTTCTCCCTGCCTCAGCAGGGCCAAACTGAGACATTTTTAACTACTCTCCACATTGCACAAGTCGGTGCTAAAGTGTGCCAGCGAAAGTACACTCACGCACACATATGCAGGCGTGCTTGGGACACTTGCACTTTTCCTCCCAGACCGTCATGGAAACAAAACTGAATATTTTGTAATGACAAGAAGGACCTCTCTGAAAATATGGTGCTTAAAACTTCTCTATCAAAAGTCTTCTGAACTATTACATCTCTGTGCAATACTGTGGCTGCATCAAGACAGCCTCCTTAGAAAAGTGTCCTAAACCCCCTCCAGCTTGCTGTGACTATGAGTGTTGTGCAGAAATGCAGCATTTGGGCTCTTACTGCTCCAGTGCCAGCTATTACACATCCATGTGCCTTGTGTAGACTTTGGAAATGCTCCTTCTTTATCTTTAAGCATGGACTCATACTGCATTCCTCCACCCTCTCTCAGGTCTAAACAGTTAAAAAAGTGTTACAGACACTTTATTCACCCTCCTTGTTTAAATCCTAAGAGGTTTTTTTAGGGCTTCCATTCTGCATCTGTTTTTCTCCTTGACTGAACAGACAGTATTTTTCAGCTGTGGGGAGAGGCAAGCTAACTAAACCGATATTTTTAAGCCTGAAAAATAGATTATGTGAACAGGGAGTGTATTTGGTTGGATTGGTAAACAATGGATTTAAATTTAGAGCACTGTTTTACTTTTTCATGATGCTTCATGGAACACAAATCGTGGACAAATATAAAAAAAGCACAAGCTCTTTGACCTGTTTATGGCACCTGCTTCCAGACTTTTGTTACTGTTACTTAAAAGCTTTGGGCTCTGAGGTAACCCCATCTTTTTTTATTATTATTTTTTAGTTTTAGTTTTTCTACTAATCTAGGAATATTCAATAGGAAATTTCGAGGTTTGGTAGCAGTAGCCAATTCACTGTTGAGGTCCATGGAGCCCTTTAAAACATGGTTCATTGCCAGTCTCCCTTCTCTGCAGTGATAAAAGCAGCATCTTCTGCCATTCCAGCAGCATCTTCTGCTGGGAGTGCTTTTTCTGTGGGCCTGATTGGGAAAATAAATTGAACATCTCACCCACAAGAAGCAGTTTGCAGATCTGGTGGTATCCCTCACTTCAGTCCTGGCCTATGCAGCCCCAAACTGGCAGTTCAGGTGCTGGCAATGGTCAGGTCCCTTTATAGTCACTGACCAAATGCTTGCTCAGCTGATCCCACAAGGATGTTGATATTCAGATGTTATTTTCTTCTGCATTTAATGAACTGAAAGATTGGTGTCCACACTTCCCTCCCCTCTCTCCTGCCACAATTCAATAATACACATAAGTTTTAATGCAAACGGTTATTTTCCTGAAGAGCAAGGTGCAGAAAGCTACCTCAACCTCTCCAATTTCCCATAAAGATGGAAATGAGCAACACAGAGCTGGGCAGGATTTAACTGTCCATTTAATCAAAAATGCTTAAGAAAAAGGCTACAGAAGAGGGTAATAGCCCAAATTTTGGAGAGGTAAGACTCAGCTCCTGGCTTTTGGACAGGTGAGAGCTCAGCCTGGCTCTCTTGCAGCCATGAACTGATGCTATAGATGGATGCAGTGCAGGGGCTTCTCGTTACTGCAGCAAAGTAGGGAGGCTGCGGAGCAGCTCTCTTCACTCACACAGGCAAAAGGAAAAACTATTGTGATGGTGTGTTAAAAATTACTGTGTTAAGAAGGAAATAGCTTCATTCCTGATCTGCTTTATATCATCTTTCCTCCTGAGTGTCCAAACACAGCTCCTTTGGCAGACACCTCAGGCTCTGGGACAGTTTGTGTCCATGTTCCCTATCTGATTTTAATATTGTAATAACATGTTTTGGGATTTGGCATGTAGCTTTTCCTGAATGCTTGAGGTTGTAGGAATGCTTAAAGAAGCCTGTATTACTTCTGTGGCAATACTGAGTCCAAGGTCACAGAAAGGAATGATTGAGGGGGAGATCCCTTAGAGGCTGTGTCATTTTAGGAAACACAGATTAGCATCAAAAGAAGAAAACTTGTTGGTCTTTTTTTCTCAGTCCATCTTTATTTAAGTAGACAGGGAGAAAGAGAAGAAAACTAATTTACTTCTTGAGATAGAGACAGTCTGTGAATTCAATTGCATTAGGTCATCTTCACCACCCACTGTGATATCTGAGGAGGGTTACACACCACCTTGGTTCCTAATGGCAACAGTCTCTGTTACTCCTCATGTGTCATAGCCAAGGAATTTTGTGTTTGATCATAAACTTCCTCTTTGTGTCCCTGCAGGCTCAGACATCATTTCCTAAATTTAATCTATGCAAAACAATCTTGTCCCATTGTGTTAGCCAGCCATAACTGGCTTCAACTTGGCCTATTGCTTCCAAGCTGTATCATGCCTAGAAGGGAAATTATCTATTTGAGATGCACTCTGGCTTATCAGCAGATCCAGTACACCACCAAATAATCTATGAAGTCCTTCTGTAAGACTTGACACCTGAGTCAGGGCCACAGTAGAAACTCCTTTGTCCCTCTGGGATCCTACACCTCTCCTCTCTGCAGACACAGTAGCTTTTCTGTCAGGGGAACTGAACAAGGATTGCTGTTTTCCTTTTCAAATGGTAGTTACTTGGACTAGTGGTGCCCTTTGTTTCACTAAGTGATATCCATTAGATGCAAAATTGAAACTTCTTGGTGATATCTGAAGAAGTGAATGTAGTCCTGCAAGGCTGGGTTTTCTCTGGAAGGGGGAAAAATAGCTCCTTGTCTTTACTCTGATGAACACTTTGAAAAAACTTGAATTTGTCCAGGTGCGCAGAGCACAGGCCCTGGGAGACCACAACCTGATGTCACTGCTGTTGTTGATACTTTTTCTCTCCTTTTCTTTCTTTCAGGGTCACAACAACCTGGAGTGCCGTATTACACAGATCCAGGTGGACCTGTGATGAATCCCATGGCTATGGCTTTCCACGTCCAGCCCAATTCCCCACAAGGAAACCCAGTTTACCCACCCCCACCTTCCTACTGCAACACACCGCCTCCCCCATACGAGCAGGTGGTGAAATCCTCCACGTGAGGACTCTGGCTCTCTAACCTGACTGTGTGAGAAGAAGGTGCAATTGCAAAATGACCAAGATGGAGGGCATATGCCCTTTTGAACACTTGCTAGTTCTCCAAGTCCTCTCTCCCTCCCTTCCCTGCACCTTTCCTCATTAAAGTTATTTGCAAAGGGGGTGATTTTTAAATTTTTTTCTTTTGTTTTTAGTAGAAGTGGATTTTTTTCTTTGTCTTCAAAATGAGAGTTGTCTTTGTAATGCTTTTAATGGAAACCTATATTTAAAACCTGTATGTCTTTCTCTTTATTTGTTGTTCATTTTAATAGTGATTTTAATTGCATTGTGGCACGTTACTGATAGCACTTCTTTCTGCAGCCCCAGAGTGATGCACCCTCCTAAGACCCCACAGCAGAAATGCCCTCATCTAAGGGAAATGACAGAGAAAGAGGGTAGAAGTGGTAGGCAATGCTTTTGTCAGAAATTGTGACTACCATATTTTTCTTTTATGATTTTTTCTTGTACAGTTTGCTTCTGATGTACAACAGAAAGATGCTGCAATAGAAGTCGCTGTGACTAGAGTACCAGCATTGGTTGAGCCATGGCAGGGGCTCTGCCACGTGCCCTGGAAAAGAGGGAGTCATTACTTTAAATGATGCATCCAAACAGTGAAGGACTGGGACTAGAGTGTTTCTTGTCCATCACTTGGACTCTGCCTGTGTGATTGGCATCCTGGCTCACCTTGTTTTGCCAGCAGTGAGATTGTATGAAACAGATAACCTAAATGTTTGTGATGAGAGGGAGGTGTTATGACTTCAGAGCTACTTGTGCCTCCTGACAGAACAGGTAGAAACACTGAAATATGTAGGTTTTCTTCCCTATATTGGAAAATACTTACAGTAAGAATGGATGGGAGCATAGTTACATATTTACTCCCTTTGATGTTGATGGGAGTTTAGTCCCAGATGCATAGTAGCTTTCATGATAGTCTTACTGCTGCCACAAAATGTACCAAGTGGAGCTGTCATCTTCAGATGACATATCTATAAATCTGCTCTCCTCTCTAGATTCAGGCAAATAATAACTTTTTGGGACAGGTGCTTAATAGCATTGTTTGACCTGATGCACAGATGGTTTGACTTTCAGTGGCTCAGCTCTTCATGTGTTTTGTTGTGAATGCTCATGGCCAACTCTGAGTGACCACAGGTGAACAGCTTCAAGTAAACACAGAGCCCCTTTAGCTGTCAAGGCTCTTACACCCCTCTATGTCTAGCAAAAATGTGAAGCTGCTCTGAAACATGACTATGTACTAATGGGACCTTCTCCCTTTGTGCATATTCAGAGTCATGCCACTGAAGAGTGACCAAAAAAAAGATGCCATTGCCTCCTGCTGCTGAAGGACCTGCTAAAACAGAGTTAGGAGTCCAGTGTGGACCTTTGGGTACCCAGTAAAAGCTTACTCACTGCCAATACACAGACTGTTCCTGTGTCACGCCAGCCAGGGCACAGAGATCACCAGGGTGGTTTGGAGTAATGTGAAGCCCTGAGTTGCACAGGGAGCCAAAGCTTTATGGTGGCATTGTTATGTGCAAGTGGTTTGTGAGAACTTGTTTCTAGGTGTCAAGCTGAATTTGCAGAGCATCTCTTTTATTGCAAATATGAGTGTCTTAACAGGAAAACTTCTAAGGGCCACTGTTCCTAAAAGTTGCTGGTGGAGTTAGTGGCCATCTGGAGCAGAGCTAGGTTTGGAGGAGTACATTCCTGCATACCTGACTTGGGTAAACCTGTAACTAAGGCTTTCCCTTACTGTGCATCATAATAAGGGACAAAGCAAAGTACTTCCGTGTGTGCAGTCAAGGCTTGATAGACATGTAAGAACAAAAAAGTAAATTTTCTATATGAATGCTAGTTCCATCTGCACACCACAACTGTATATATTTTCTAAATTAGTGTGCATTTGAACTGTAAAGCTGTGTATGTCACTGAGTATGGTTATGTATACAAGATGATTTTTTAAAAGCAAATCCAACCTTTTTCTGTCAATAGAAATGACAACAGACCTCATGTTAGTAGATAGATGTTGTTAAGTCCTTTTATATTATGAAATGTATCTATGACAGCTGGCATTGTCCTGGACACATTGAATAGAAGCCTTTGTACATTGAAATTCAATTTCCGGTGAAGTTTTCCTGAAGTCTGGGTAGTTTATTTCCTAGTGTTGATGGATGACACTACCTCTTAAAACACATGGACTTCTCTGCTAGCAAACTTGCTTGGTGCTTGGTCTTTTCTTGAAAACACAACACCTATGTGGACATCCATATGAATTACTTGCAGATTGTTTACATGCCTTTCCTCTTGTTGCCTCACCAATTCCAACAGAATTTTACTTGGCAGTAGTGATGCCCTAGGAGCTGCCAGCTGCTGCAGCTTTGCTAATGTGAACTGCCCTGTGGTGATTTGGTGCTTTATCTGTTGCAGTTCTCTGAGTGCATCTACTGTGTCCTTTCTAACACAACAGAGATTTGGTACCTTGCTGATGAGGCAAGGTGGTGTTTCAACTGCAAAATAAGGTTGGTGCTGGTGGCTCGGAGACTTGGGGATGTGTGGGGCACTCTCCTGCCCCTTCCCAGAGGCACTGGACCCGTATGCGGCTGACTCCCTGCCTGCCTTTAAGACTGCCCCATCTACATCAGGAAAATGATTTAATGTCTTGTGGCAATCCATTTCCTGGTTCTTTCAGAGGTGTTTGATATGAGGGGGGTTTAAATGCCTTGACAGGGCTTGGCCAGAATGGAGATATTTTAGTGGAGCCACTGTACCTGGGTGAGGAGCCAGGAACACAAGCAATAACCCCTTGTGGTCTTCTTCAGTTGCGCATACTCAAAATGTGTCTGATGTACCTGTGAGGAGGCACTGAGCAGGTGTGTAAGGAAACCTTTGAGGTCTTTCTCTGCTGCTGTGACCCTGGCAGCAGTGAGAATGAGAAGGGGGTCAGTCCTCTTCTGCTACAATGAAATCTCCAAGTATACTGTTTTAAAAGGCACTACGAGGGACGATTAGTACATGTTGCCTGTAGCTCTGATGTAGCCTGTGTTTCATCACTTTGGGAAAAGATAATGTAATGACAAACTTCTTTTGTTTTGAGGGTGGCTTTTTTTTTTCTTTTCCTTTAGAGCCCTGTGACAGCTTACACTGCTGTGACAACAAACAGCTGGGATTACATTTTCCAACAAGCTCTTCAGACCATGTGAAGAAGCAAAGGCAATACTCCTCTTTCTTCTCCACTTCAAACAAACAAACAAACAACCCATCCCCAAAACCCTCAGAACAGTTAGCTTTAAATGCATATATCCAAGAAGCCACTTTTTGGCACACAGGTCAGCGAAGAAGGTATAACACTTCTTCACAGACTGAAGCCTTGTTGTTTTTTTTTGTTTTTGTTTTTTTGTTGTTTTTTTTTATTTCTCAGATCTAACTCTGCTAATTCAGTAGGTGAGAGAAGTGGGCCAGGATGTCTTTGTAGGCCCTGTGGCTGTGGGAGCCCTCCCCCTTAATGCCCTGTCATCACCTGAGCTGCCTTCTGGGCTTTTACAGTTGTACTATTTGGCAGGGAAATGACTACTGAGACACCATGCAGAAGAAGATCCAGCATGAGACAGTTTCTACAAAGCAACTGCCAGATAATAAGCAATTAAAGAGGAGAGGTGCAACTGGCAGCCACTGTTCCAAGGTACCATGTGCTGCAAGGTAAAGGGGACAGCAGAGAAAGCAGAGGGAACAGTGACAAGCAGCCCTCTGACCCCAACCCCTGTAGATGAAGGTAGCTGCCTTCCCGCACAGATGTGTTATTTTGGCTTTATGCAGTGAGAGAAGTCACAGCGATTGTTGTATCTCTAGCTGTGTCTCACACTATTTCTCTCCTACTGCCTAGCCCTATCTTATCTAATAGCTGCAGCTGGATTTACAGCAGTCCACTTGCAGATTTCAAGGAGAAGCTGTGGCTCAAAGTCAGGTCCATACTGCTCCCTGCGTACAAATAACAGCTGCCCTGCCTGTGAATCATCATGAAACCATTGAGAACAAAGGGGAGAAAAGTGAGTAATTTCACCAGGAAAGACTGCTGTATAAAACACCCTAATGGGACAGGGCTCAGGCAGCAGGCTGCTGCTCAGCTATTACCTGACACACTGCACACATACCTCCTCCCACCTCTCTATTCTATGCTGTTTTGATGTTGCAGAGATTTATTGTGCTAGAAAAATCCCAATGCATTTATCTAGCTACAGCTAAATTTGTACAGAACTAATGCTCCTAATTAAAAAATGCACCGAGTTTCTCTCGGTGGCAATGACAGCCATGAGTGGCACAAGGGGCTTTGAGAAACAGAAATACTGCCCGTTGCTTGCAGCATGCCTCAAGTTTCCTTCTGTTAAAATCTTGCTAGAGGAACACATCAAACTTTCTCAAAGCTGGAAAACAAATGTTAATCAGCTGGACAGGGATTTCATATATGTGTTTTAAAAACCAGGTCATCCTGAGTCACGCTTTAGATGCAAACTCTTCAATAGGACCTATGTGACCAGAAAGAAAGCGACATTTTGCACTAAGCAATGATCGCTAAAAACCACCTGGGAGAAGCAGCAGGAAAGGGGCCTGCAGTGCTAGTAAACTGTGAAGGTTAAAGAAAAGCAATTTGCCCAATTGCCTGCTTTCTGGCATGTGTTTCATCCTGAAGGACTATGAGATACAGAGGTGGTTCAGCTGTCAGATCAGTGGGACAGCTCTCACCACAGTGCTGGAGGGAAGGAGGGAGAACAAGAGGGAAGAAAAAAAAAACCCCACACAAATTACCACCACATAGCTTGATCTTTACTAATAAAGCCAAAGAACAAAACATCAGCATTTTTTCCTCTTTTTCTGCCCAAAGAGCATCTCCATTTTTAAAACTACTGCTTTTTGCAACAGATGGACTATTACACACAGACAAAGCAAACCAGGAAATAATAAGACATTTTCCACATTTTCCACATTTTTAGTTGGATGTCATTTTGGAAAACAATGCCTTGATGAAACACATTTTTTCACCTTCACACCATATCTTTTCTTAATGGGTCACCTAGATATCACAATGCTGTGATGAACAGAAAGGAGCCATGGGGAAATTCACGCCAGGAAGACAAGGCAGATGCACTGTCAGATGCTTCTCAGCTCTATTCTTTCCAGTCTTACTCAATTCCAAGATTCAGCAGAGAAGGATGGTGCCAGGCCCCACTGTGGCAGAAGGCTGGCTGT